CTCCGCTGGAGAATGCCTGCGCCGTGTGTCCGGGCCTGTTCTCAATGTCCTTTTGTCGTCTCCCTAAGGGCCACCTACATACTTAACAGAGACAGTAGAACAATGCCTGCCACCTTCAGAAACTGTGACTTAGATGTCCCTGGAGTTCGGCAGTGCCCTGAGAGGCTGGGGAACCAGGTCTGGAATCGCCTAGGAAGAGAAGCAAGGCCGGGAGGTGTCGGTCCTTCCTGGCAGCACCGCAGGAAGGCCAGGTGTCCAGCCAGGCGAGCAGATTCTGACACAGAGCTTCTTGGGGACCCTGTGTGACCAGGCGTGAGGGCTGTAGCAAGGCTCAACCAGACAAACAGAACCAGGAGGTGACACATAGGGAAATATCTTCTGCAAGGAACTGGCGTACACGATGGTGGAATCTGAGACCCGTAGGCCAGGCCTGCAGAAAGAGGCTGGAGCTCAGGCATGAGGTGCGCTGCCACCCACAAGCAGGGTGTTTTCTTCGTCCTTGAGGAAGCCTCCGCTCTGTTTTTAAGTCCTTGCAACTGATAGAGTCGGGCCGCCTAGATTATCTAGGATAATGTCCCTTTCTTAAACTCAACTGACTTTAATGGTCTTTAATCCCATCTATAAAATAGCTTGAAGGCAAAATTTACATACTGTTGGTTGACTACCTTGGGACTGTAGCCTAGGATGCTGACACCCTTTTTTCGAGGAATGGCTGTGGGGCCAGCGGGTGACCCCCGGCTTCAGCGTCTCGCTCCCTTGGGGTCTTCCTCCTGTGTCACCCGAGGTGACTGATCTGAGCAGCACAACTTTCTTTTCCTCCAAGAAATGTGTAAGGATCTGAAAACATTTGAAAAGCAAATCTCCTGGAGTCACAGCCCCCTGAGAGCTCCCACATGCCAACACTACACTTCCAGCAGAACTGGGAGAGGGCCTGGGGCTGCCCTTTGCCCACATGCTCAGGCTGTTGCAGCCGTGAGCCCCTGGCTTTATAGCCACGTGGCTCAGGTCCATCTTGTTACATGCTGTTTAGTTGTCAGAACCTTCGGTAACTTCTCTGCTTAGTGGCAAAGTCTATCACACTTGTGAGAGCAGCTTTGAGCCTTCTCTGTTAAGGCGGTAGAAAAAAAGTCACTGAACAATGGGGATTTTTGATGTGGTTTTCTTGGATTCACTGAGTTGTTTTTAATTGATGGATTGTTTCTAGGTCTGAGAGAATCTCCATGAAATAAAATACATGGACAAGAAAGAGTGTAGATTGTCACTGCAGGCTGTTTTTCTTTTTTAGTCTCTTAGAACAAGCCTTAGTTCTACCCTGAATTCACCAGATCAGGTGAATACCAAAGTGATCAAGTGAAGCCAAAGAGTGGCTTGGCAATGATTATGTTGGCATGATGGTAATAGTGCATGATATTATTACTTATAAAACATAACAGCATTTCCTGTGTTCAGCACTCTGTGCTAGTTTCATGCTCACAACAGCACATTTTACAGATGACAGAACTGACACACAGAACTCCTAGAGGACAGAACCAGGCTCACAAGCTTGTAAGTCCTGTGGACAGGATTTGAACCCAGGCTGTCCGGCTCCAGAGTCCAGGCTCTTAACCATAGCAGTGAAAGTGCTACACGCCAGATGCTTGAGATACTTTTATATTTGAATCTATGATGCCTCATCTGAGTTGATAGTTTTTTATGACCCTGAAATGTTTTACATAATGAAGGTGGGGGAGGTTTCTGGCCATGAGTAAGACGACTTAGGGCGAGCCCCACTGGCAGAGAAAGTAGCTCTAAGAAGTGCCACGACGCAGCTGCAGCCCAGACCTTCCATAGATGCTGCTGACAGCGTGGATGTCTGTCTCTGGTGACCTGTAAAAGCAGGTCCTGAGGGGATGCTTGCATTGGGAATACCATTCTCTCCTGGTGGCAGGCTTCCCTGCCTTTCAAAACCAAGCCTGTGGCCCTAGCCGACTGGCAGTAAACATCTCCAAGGTGTGCAAGCCATTGTACCAACTGCTGTTTGCAGAGCTGGGAGCGCCCTTCATGAGCAGAAGTGACCTACCTACAGCCCCTTTCCCCTCCTACCAGCTGCCAGGACTTAAAGCTTTAATGTCCTGATGTATTTCTCCCCCTCTTCCACTTCAGGAAAACTGACTTCTCATCATCCAAAAGGAACATGTGATTAATGGCAAGCCTAAAGTGCCTGCGGCTCTTTGATAATTGCTTTTATTTTTAAACATCTTTATAGCCTCCTTCAGAACACAGTTGATTTCAGGCAGTTTGGAAAGAATTTCTGGTGTGTCAAGGCAAAAAGGTCATCATGTGTGAGTGTCATACCTGTGTCCTTACATCAAACTGCTGTGTTTTTCCATCGCCCTGGCAGGAATGCTAAAATAACATACATCTGCTAGAGCGCTCTGCATTTTTCTACCTGATGGAAAAAAGTAAATGTCTGCTACGGTCCCTTGCAGAAATGGGTGTGAGAGGTCAGAAGATGATTTTACTCATTCCATGTCACAAGGCCAACATCTCTCTCCTGCCGCAGGTGCTCCTTACAGTTTGGAGGAAGTACAGTTAGCCAGTGAGTCTCAGTGAGGCCTCTGGGGATCTCTTTAATATGATCTCTACACATGCCGATTCTGTAAGTCTGGGTTGAGCCGAGGTTCTGAGTATCTAACAGGCTCCCAGGTGCCAGGGGTGCTTCAGGTCCAAGTAGCGAGGACTTAGAGGATCGCTCAGACCATACACGGTGGAGGAACGAGAGACCCCAAGGGAAGAAACTATGACAATTTAAACACTGTTGTGTCTTCAGTAATGCTGACCTGTGTACCAGTCACAGCATCTCATTTGCCACAAGGGGAGAGTGGGAAGTCAGGCAATGGATCATTTGCCCGTCAAAGGACAATTGTCCTTGTCATCCACAAACCTAGAGCCTGGTTTGGAAAGTTGCCTTGTGATCCGCTGTGGGATAGAGCACAGTGTAGACTTGTGGGTGGGGTTAGGCATCCTGAAAGGGGTCTTTAGTAAAAAAAATTGTAATCATAGATATTTTCTTACTTACTGTTCCAAAAAATTAAAGAGAGACAGTGAAGCAGGAAACTGCAAGCTCTATGTAGTGCCCATTGTACCAGCAAGCCCGTTGACATGAAGCCGTCATGCTGTTTTGATGTTATCTCTGTGACATGGTGTAAAGCTTACCTGGGTGGTCAAGTGCTGACTCTTCTCTCTGACACTAGCATGTGCCCAGCCTCAGCTCCCTGAACTTACCTTGGCGACTGCAGACTTCTGGTTTCCATAGGAGCAAATCTGTGTATGAGCTTAATAAGTGAAAACTAGAACCTGTAACTGTTAGTCTTTTATAAAACGACCCTGATCTCTATTAATTTCAAGAGCTGAAATGCCAGGCCTGGGGTGAATACCTCAGCCCCAAGAGGAAGTGATCTTTTGAGTGAACCTGACCTGTGCATTGAAAAGAAAGACATCATAGCAAATGGCCATTGAGGGGTGCTTAATCCTGTTTCCTTAATTAAATGGCAAAACAGTTCTTTATAAGCTGTGTTCAGTGAGGCCAGGTTTCTCTGCCACTCACCAGTGCCTATGATGATGACCTGCTTATTTGTGGCAAAGCAGGGATGGAAATTCTGATGACTTTATTATTCTTTTCCTGCAGATAAGCGGATGTAGATACTAACTGGCATGCTGCCCTGTCCCTTTTAGGGCTGATTCCATTCTTGTGGCCAAGTACATTTTCTCTGTCTCACCTCTGATCTGCTCCCCTCCTGACTGCCTTTCTACCTCTTACCTCTGCTCTGGTCTCTACAGAAACGCTGTAGCAATTGACCTGCATACAGTCTCCAGATACAGAGGCACAAAAAGTATTCTCCTGAGGGTCCTCCTCCTTTTTTAAAAAATAATTCTAACCACATTAAAAAAAAAAAAAAGACAAGCTTTAGGAAATACTGCAAACTGTAGAAAAAGAATAGCAAACAAACTTACATGCTCTATACGTAGAAAAAGTGTGTAAAACCCAGCCATATTTTCTAGTATTAAGGACCCTTATTGTAGGAATCCATGCAGTAGATATGTATTAGTTGTTAGTTGCGTGCTACAGTTTAGGGTTTTGCAACCATCTTTTTCATTCAAGATCAGATTAAGAGCATAGATTCTTGCAAACAGCGGGGACTATGTTGTCCTTCCATTCTGCTGATGTTTATCAAAGGCAGACACTGGTTTGGTTTTGAAGCTCTGAGGATGAATCAGATGTGCCCCGGCCAGGGGAGCCATCTACCTAATAGGAGCAGAGAGAGGCATGCTCAGCACACCCAGGTCAGAGTGGGCAGCAGAATTCCAATACCCAGGAGGAACTCCCCGCAAGATCATGACTGCATGATCCGGTCTCCTTTATTGATAGGTTTTTGTCTTGTTCAAATAGATAAGCTGCAGTGCCACTCGGCCTGCCTTGGCCTCACAGCGTGAGGAGGTTGCCTGGAATGCAGAGTTCCCAGGAGCACTGGAGTCAGAGCCAGAAGGAAACAGGGATGGGGCAGGTGGGCGGGAGCAGATGGGCATTCCTGGTGCCTCAGTCAGAGGTTGAAAGGGTCCCATAGCACAGCATCACAGATGGAGGGGAAAGCCAACCCACAACAAGCTCAGGGCCATCTGGAGGGCCGAGGTGGTGCAAACAACTTGGTGCCCTTATCCCCCTATGAAGCAGCCATCCCTGCTTTCTGGGCTAGGCGGCTTTGAATTACAGCATTCTTTTGCTCTGTTGTGACCTTGAGCAAGGATTGTGCTCCCTTCGCAGTTGAGGCTTTAGCTCATCCAGCTGTAAAAACGAGAATCTCAGCATTGACATACCCTGCAGGGCTCCCATGGCCACCAGCAAATCAAAACAACTTTCCAGTTCTTGGTGGGTTGAAAAGTGCACTGGCCCTGGTGCACCCATTGCTCTCCTGGGCCATGGGCAAGACACTCATGTCTTTCTTGTACCCTCTGTGTTCCAGGAATAGAGCTGTGTCCCCCCGGAAAACGGTTCATGATCACGATGGTGGCGAGCTTCGTGGCCATGGCAGGCCAGTTCCTCATGCCCGGGCTGGCCGTGCTGTGCCGGGACTGGCAGGTCCTCCAGGCCCTCATCATCTGCCCCTTCCTGCTCATGCTGCTCTATTGGTCGTGAGTATCTCCCCACCCCCACCCACCCTGCAGGCTTTGCCGCCTGACGCATCTGCCAGTGCCTTCAAAGCACTGACCTGGACCCTGCAGTCCCCAACCTTCCTGGGAGCTTCAGCTTGTGTTTATTTGTGAGAGAATTCTCCTCTCCTTTTTTTTAAGTTCATTTTTTAAATGTTTTATCTTGGGAAATGTTCAAACATGCACAAAAGTAGATAGAAGAGTGAAATGAGCCCCCTGGGGGCCCTTCCGCCAGCAACAGGAACCGGCCCTCCATCAGCAGGGATTGCCACCTGCTCGCTGGGGTATTGGCGTGATTTTTATGAATGAATTTGCAAGGAGAGGATTCTGGTGTTGGGAGAGGGAAATACTGAGATGTCTGCAGTGATTTAGAAAAGCCCCCTTATGCCCCCTAGATTAGGGATGGGCAAACTGCAGCCCGTGGGCCAAATCCAGCCTGCCCGCTCTTCCGGGAGGTGCAGTCTCGCTGGAGCACAGCCAGCTGCTTTCCTGCTGCGTGGCCGAGCTGAGTAAGTACGCAGAAACCGTGTGGCCTACAAAGCTGGAAATGTTTCCTATCTGGGCCCTTACAGAAAATGTTTGCCCTACCCTCTGCTAGAGGAGTCCAAGCAAACTTCAGAGCTGTGTATGACTTCCAGTGTTTGGCTTGCTAACTTTAGGATAAAAAAAAAAACAACTAAACACACTGGTCTACTAGATTTTTCAAACTCCCCAGGGGATTAATATTTAGCCAAGGTTGAAAGCCACAGCTCTTGGATAGAAGAAGTTTAGGAAAACAATGAGCGTTCTGCCCCTCTTTAAAAACAGCTCTTTTCCTCTTTTCCCTTTCTCCCCATCCCCTCTCCGTACAAACTCTCTCACTTCTCCTGCAAACACAGGATAATCGAGTATAGATCTTACATACTTAGTCACCAATGAAAACCAAATTTCTGGCAAGAAGTCAGTCAATTGTGTCATAGCTTTCAGTGTTCCCTGGAGCAGAGAAGGCCCTCTAGGAGGCCTCCTCTTCTCAGGTGCCGCCTTTCCCTTAGCCGCGCCTGGCAGGGAAGCCTGTGCTCTTGATGGGCACTCACTGCTGCATGGCAAATGGTTACAGGGCCCTGAGGGTTGGGGCAGAGGGTGGCTGGCTGCACGGCTGCTGTGGAGAGCTGGTGCCTGCACTGGAGGTGTGCAGGTGCTGCGCAAAGAGGGCTGGTTTGAGGTGTGTTCTGGAAGGGCCCCAGTAAGAGTTGCTGGTAGACCTGCTGTTGCCCGTGTGGGGCAGAGAATGAGCAATGGTGCAGGGTTGGGTGTCTCCCGAGGTGGCAGAATGTGCTCTCTGACATATGTGGGCCCAGCGAGGAAATGGAGCATAATGCCCTGTCCTGAGGGAGAGCTTTGGGACATTTTTGGTCTTGAAGGCAGTGGAGGAGCCACTGTGAAAAGCTTGGAGACTTGGTTGAAACCACAGCCTGTTCAAACTTAGGATTTATTATTATGCAGGTATGGTGGGGCCAACGGAGAAGGAGATGCAGCTATTAAAAAGATAATTCAGTACAGCTCCTAAGAAGAGGGGGCATGCCATGCCAGGGGGGGCCAACAGGGACTGACAGCCAAGCACCAGGGTCAGTCAGGAGGCAGAGGGAGGCACAGACACATGGAGAATAGCCTTTACTGTGGTTTTCCTAGGGGAAGGAAGAGGTGAGGCCAGGGAAGCAGGTACAGGGAAGCAGGCTCAGGATTGGCCGGTTTGAATAATTCAGTGGCCCTGGGGCACACAGGCCACCCTGGTTGTCTGGTACCTGGCCCTGGGGGTTAGGCAGGTGGACGGACAGTGGCCAGGTGTGAGAGCTCATGGAGGAGAGAGGGTAGACTGTGGACTTGCTGGTCGCTATGTGAAAGGCACTCGCAGGTTGGTTGTTTTCTGTCATTAGCCACTGGTTAGTCCTGAGAGAGGCAGTCTTCACTCCCGGAAACATCAGAAATTGCAGGAAATAAAAAGGCATGATTAGTTCACAGCCCTATGGTTATGGGATGTTCTAGAATGAAGGCCTGGAGCTGGAAAAGCCAGCCAGGAAGAGGTGACAGCAGCAGGAGGACTGGACAGGGTTTGGCAGGGGGTATGTGAGTACAGGTGGATTCTGACGATGGTGACTGATTTGTGCCCTAACTAGTGGAGCCAAGATAAGAGATTCATGTCATTGCACAAGCTGCCTGTCATGACTCATGACTTCCAGGTCCAGGCAGGACCAGCTGCTGTTTTCCTATGGGCTTTAGGTAAAGGAGGAGCTTCAAGAAGCGAAGTGGCCCAAGAGAACATAAACTGCGCTCGCTTGCATGCTGGTACACTCCATGCTTTGCAGAGCCCAGTGTCGGCACGTCAGCGTGAAGCAAGAACAGAAGAGAGAATACTGTGAATGTTTTTTACCTGAACATACATGCTGCAAGAGGGAGCGGGTAATTCCATTGTGGTTGCCGGTGGCTGCAGCTGAGACCACGCTGCCTTTGTGCCATGGGACCCGGGGACCAGGCAGAAGTGCTTGCGTTCTCGGCATCGGTTACCACTCAGAAAAGGGAACAGGGCTTCAGTGCTAACCTAGCAGGAGGTCAGACTGACCCATCCTTTTGTCAGAATATATGTGCAATTCTTCCGGCTCACAGAAAACAGAGGAGGAGGAAAAGATTCACGATCCAAAATAACAGAGGAAGGAAGAATCTAAGAGAAACTCCGCTTAGATCTGCGGGCAGTGGCAGGAAGTGCCAAAATGGAGAAGGTGGCCGCTGCTTTCTAACCGTACAGATCATGCAAATGCTGTCCCTTCTAGGCGGCTGCAGCCTGCTCCAGGGCACACAGCTTGGTGACAGTGCCCCCCGGAGCCAGGAGCCCTTGTGCAAGACACAGTCTAGGTCCCTGTTTTTAGGGTCCAGATTTGTGTTAAGTTAGAACATCTAAGAAAACTGCAGGGTTAAAGTCAGGAAGGTGATCCATGGAACAGGGTGTCAGGTTTTCTGGGCGGAGCTCGCGGCTGAGGAATGACACAGGAGTGAGGAGGCCATGGGAAAGCCGGCCGTGGGGCATCTGTCTACAGTATTTAGAGGAAACGAGGAGAAATAGAAGATCCAAACGATGATGAAGATGTTTGTGCCGCTCTCCCAAGGTGTGGGTACACGCCGTCCCCACTTCTTACAGTGTAACTGAGGGTGCTGAGCTCCTGTGAGTATTTATGAAAACAAGTATGTGCTGGGGGACAGTCTTGATGCAAGGTCACTGAGGTCCCCAATGAGGTTCCTCATTGCAACCTGACAGCATCTGTCCTCTTTCAAGCAGTGTTTGCGTCAGGGTGTCATTGTAAACATGGCAGACACATCCTGCCTCTTGGAACAGCTCAGCAGGGAAGATGTAAAACTCATTGTTGGTATTATGTCTTGTGCCTCTTTTGAGGCAGATGTGCTGTGACGTATGCTGACTTGAGCATGTTTTAAAATTTTAGGGATACGCTTTACCCGAGATCAGCTGCAGGCTTCCATGCATGAGGCTACATTAGCCATAATACTCTTGGACTAGGTAGGAACAGGTAGTTGGAGGGATTATTCCTGTTTTTAGCTGGGAAACCAGGGCATCAAAAAGCTCTACCATAACACTCAGAAGTATGGAAAAGTCATTCAAAACTGGTTTTTGAGCTTCAGGAGTTCTCAAAGTGTGGCCCCTTGGACCAGCATCCTCACCACCATCTGGAAACTTGTTCATTCCTAATTCTCAGACGGCAGGCCAGGCTTATTGAGTCAGAACGTGGGGGATTTAAGAAACCCATGCTCTGTGGTTTCAGAAGCCCTTCAAGGTTGCTGATTTGCACTTAAGTTCGAGATGTGCTAGGCATCGTAGAAGAGAAAGCCGGACGTCCTGCGTATGGAACGAGGGACTGGGTACTCTTTGAGACTTGAGTCGGCTGTGGAGAATATGCACTTCTCGTAAGAAGAGCTTCTGAAATGAAAGAGGTGCCATCCTTGAGAGTCAGTGAGAGATCGTGCAGGACCCGGCTCCCAGTCCCGTTCCATGTGCAGAGCAAAGTTGCCTTGATCCTCTCAGACAAGAAGAAGGAATAGGTATTCCTGGAACTGATGAAAGAAGGCAAAAATATCTCAGTACATCTAGCTATTTCATCTGCCCTCTGAGAAACATAAACCTGTACCCATTTATATTGTGAAGTCTTAAATTACACCCAGTGATTGAGGTTAATGGGAGGGAAAGGTTTCTCCCCCTTCTTTACCTGTCCTCCAAGTGGGCAGCAGGGGAACATTTTTTTTGCTCAGACGTGTCCCCACACCCCTGCAGCAATGCGTGGGGGTGGTTTTCTTTGACTCTAGGACTTCGAACCAAGTGCCTAGTTAGGAAGGATCCCCATCTTGGACTTGCCTAATGTATATTCACCTGAACTGCTTCAAGAAGGAACAGAGATGACGTTCAATGTGTGTGAAGATGGTGAATTACTAACTGTACTTTGTTCCGCTGGAATTTCATTCTGACCAAGAGAAAAATGCTGTTGGCAATCAGCATGATCATCAAATGCATCTGGGAAAGCATAAAGAAGAAGATAAACCATACGGGAAATGATGAGGAAATCAGAGAAAGATCGAGCCACACTGTGTAACATGGGGGAGTAAGTAATAGTGTCCACTCCCCGAGTGCAAGATCCACCTTGACACAGAGGGAATTAGGGCGTGCTGTCACAAGGAACTCACCAGGCAGAGGCGGAAGATGATTGAAACCCTTAGCAGGACAGGTATGTGCCAAAGGGATTTAAATTTTTTATATTTCAAGAAAAAAAATCCATTGTAAAACATTTAAATGGCCTCCGGTTAGGTAAATATCCAACTACAACAACAAAATTTACTTGCAGCTCCAGTATATAAAGGGTCCTAAATATTGGAATCTTTCAACTATCATCAGAAATACTTTGGCCAACACGATGCTAATTTTTAACATTTCCTGAGCATTTACTCTTGAGGAAGGCACTGACTGCTAAGACCCTCCCATAACTTAACCTCTTTAATCTTCCCAAAGACTCAAGTACAGATGGAGAAACTGAGGCTAAGAGAGATTTCCACAGCACGATTACCACCCCTGAGCCAGGATGTGGGGCCGGGGACCGGAAATCAGCAGGTGACTCCAGAGCAGCCTCTCAGCTCGGCCCCAGGGACTGGGTGCCAAAATGCTGGGCGGAGGGCCAACCCTGGGCCACCAGAGCAGTGTGAGTTGGCACAGAGCCCTGCTCCACACCCAGGGGGACTTTTCTAGTTCCTCTTTATTTAGTATACTATTTACATTTACAAAAACACTTCTGAAAGTCACTTGGGGTATCAGCACCTTCCCCAAAGAAAGCTCAATAAAAATGTAAGTGAATGAATTAATTCTGCTTCTTGTCATTGTTGAAATGGTTTAAAGACCCTTTAAAATGTATATATTAATATATTAATAATATAGAAAAATTAGTTAATAAATTACTAATATTTTAAATTTATATACTAACAT